CTCACTGGCTCGTCTCCTCCCTCTGACCCTTCAGTAAAGGGTGTCCAGTTGCCTACAGATGGGCTTTGGGGGTCCACTCTGCATTCACCCTCATTTACAGTGATAGGACTTTTTGTTCTTTGATGCCTGATACCTGATCCCTCTGACACCTCGTGGTTTATTTTATAATCTTATATTCTTGATGATAATTCTGATAAGCTGTGATTTTAATTAACAAGAGTGTAAAAATGAGGTGGATTTCAAATGGGCTGTGATAGAATGGTAAATTGCCTGATGCCCCACTTTAACCTTTCATAGGCACTTATCCTTCTGTCCTGGCTCTCTTCAGTCTGTGCTTATCACATCTGCTGCCCAGGCATAGTTTCATGACAAATGGATATTCTGAACCACTTACCAAAAAGTTCAAAACGAATACTACAGGTTTTCTATTATTCCAATCTAAGTGATACCCAGATGTAAAAACTCAGCTCTTGATTAAAATAAATACTGAATTATGTTCCCGTGAATATTTGAGTGTGCCTTCTCCCTTAAGAACAAAGATGAATAAGGCGTATCTATGGGCCCATACATTTTATTGATCATTACTTTATTTCTTCTGCCTGTGTGATACCTGATAACAAATAGATACACAATAAAAACTTATTGTTCTTGAGAAATTTGTTGACTACTGTAAGAGTTAGACATGTAAACATTTTTTTTTAATTACAGTATAGATAAAATACATATAGAAGTGACTATATCATGGAAAATATGACAGGATAGGAAACGAGGAAATATCACCATCTCTCCATTGGTGTTTACCTTCTCTTTGTATCAACTTTCACAATTTTAGGAAATAATTTCCTTTGACCCAAATGCTGTTAGGAAAATGAACTGTGGTCTGGCTTAAATACTTAGTTTTCTTGTGTTTTTCTTTTTATTTACATTCTCCAATGTCCATTGTTTCTATAAAACCAGGCAGGAAACAAAACAAACCGGGCAGGAATTAAAATGCGTTACGTTTTTAAAACTGTAAACTGCTTCTGTTCTGTTTTACTGACATTTACTATTTTCTGCATTTCATTCTCTAATTTCTTCCTTTCTAATATGCTTACTAAAAAATGAAGATCTAACATCAGGAGCCGGGCTTGGTAAATGATCAAAGGGAACTTTAAGATGCAGTCTTTTGGTGCAGTTTGGCCTGCTAACCTGCTGTCATAAGGTGATGCTTCAAATGATTTTTCTGTGCATGTGCATGGATTTTGTGAATGGTGGAGACTGTCTTTGAAACCGTGCTGTGGTGTGGAATGTAAAGTGAATTTATTTTTGATGGCCACTATTTGCCTAAATTTGGGCTCGACAAAAGATCTTACCTTACCATTTTGGCTAATGGCTCTAATAACTAAGCTTTTACCAAATAGCATTTATGTACTGAAATAATAATTTTCCTGGTTTCTTAAGAAGTCTTATATAGGTGAATCCTACTGCAGTCTTGTCCTGCTCAAACAAAATGAATCTTTCGTCTTACGTGGATTCCAGTACTATTCCTTTCCAATTCCAGAAATGAGATTTCCTCTGATGAAGTGTCATTTCTTTTTTTTTTCTTTTCTCTCTTTAAAAAAAAAAATCATTTTACTCTAGGGACTCTTATAACTGTATCAAGCATATGTTAATTGTATCCAGCAAGCACATTTATATATATGTTGCCATCATCATTTTCAAAACATTTTCTTTCTACTTGAGCCCTTGGTATCAGCTTCTCTTTTTTCCTTCCCTCCCCCACCCTCTCACCCTATGATCCCTTGATGAAGTGTCATTTCTAATGGTTGGGAGTCTTCATGATTTAGAGCACTATCAAACCTAGCAATTAATTGCCAATCTAGTCATCTTAAGTCCTATTTAGAACAAGGTGGGAGATAATAACATTTTAAAATTGATCATATTTAAAGATTTATTTTTTAATTAAAACCTACCTTCCTTTACTTATGCTACAATTCCTTCTATTATTTCTGTTGTGCCAAGTGTTAATTTGCTATGATTTCATATTGAATTATTATGTAGCTAACTAGTCTTAGTTTTTGGTAACATATGCACCTATAGACATAAACTGAGAATCAGTTGGAGGTTGAAGCCAATGAATCAAAATATTTTTAGTGCTTTTAACAAAGCATTTTTAATCTATTAAGAATACAACCTTTTCGCAACCCTGTGAGGTAGCAAGTACTTCAATCATAATTTTAGCTTTTATATAAAAAGAAAAGAGTGCTTATGTTTAAGGTTCTCTAGCTACTGCTTAACAGTTCTAGTATTAGGATTCAGACATTTTACTCCAAATTCTATGGCCCCCCTCTCCCCAAGTACGTCCCTTTGCTTCCTCCAGATTAATTTGTGGCCTTTCACAGCTCCCAGTTTTTGGAAATACTAAGCCTACCACAGGAGTTTAAAATATACCTTCTGCAATAGGCCGGGACCCATTAGAATAGTGCTTCTCTTCCTAGGTGGGTAGCTGCCACACCCACACCTCATGATTTTTCATGGGACTTAAATAAAATAAAAACAACCACCACAAAAGAATCCCAGTCCCTATCCCGTATGGGCTGCAGCAGAATCTTCAGAGTATAACTTGTGTAACTGTGTTCAGAACACTGAGGTTGTGCTGCTGTTCAGTCATGCTGGGGAAATAGTACCTATGGAATGATTTGAAAGGAAGATAAATCAGATGAAAATCTTTTGTTTTTAAAACCTTCTCACATCATGAACTGAGGTGGGCATCTACCTGACTATGTCTTGACCATAGATAACTCTTAAGGGTATGAGGGAAGTGCTGGAGTCACTCCTGGGGTTCCCATTTGGTGGAGGGGCTCCAGGGCACTGGCAAGTAACAGGGTCTTAAGCACCCATAAGACTTTGCCTGGAGTGGAGGTGCTGAAAGAGAGATGTGGAGCTTTTCCGAGGGCCAAGAGCATATGAAATGAAATCAACAACATTATATAAAAACATAACTTCTTCATGAACATGCAGAACAGGCCAGAACTGCGTGGGGAAAAAATATGTGTTACAACAGGTTTGGAAGTAAACATGGCCAACCTAGTGCACAGCTGTAGGAAGAAAACCAGTTTTTTGAGCTTTTTCTCTTTCATAGTGAAAGAACATCTTCACAGACCCAGCCCTCTTAAAGAGGAAGGGGTTTGATAACCAGTTCTGGCTTCTTGGTATATATCTTGTGCGTTAATTGAAACTCATTTACATGATCACAATTCATTTTCAGATTTTTCACTTATATCTCATTGTGGAATGAAGAATTTTTAACTATCTAAGAAATTTTAAATGTTACCCCTTAAGGTTTGGAAGAAGGTTAGAGCACACATGCACATATATACTTATATATATGTGTGTGCCTTCATAGAGCAGGCCCCCCACACACATCCTGTCCTGTCTATTTCTCCATCTGGGCTAAGACTCTCAGGAACAGTGTCGTAAGTATTATTTGGTGACTTGAATTCCTGCCTTCTCACTTCCACCTTTTCCACAATTTGATATCCTGAAACTAGTCCCACATTTCTTGTATTCTAATACTTCTGGTTATTAAGCTTCTGACAAACAGATATATTGTTTGCTTTATTTACTAGGTATTATTCTCTTTAGAATTTTGCCCTAGGACCTATCTTATACATTGACATAGTCCATATAAATTGGTCTCACTAAAGTGACACAATTATCATGAGGAAATATTCATTTAAAAAACATATATCCCACTTTGTTTTAGGAAGGATTTAAAATGTCTTAAATAGACTAATGAATAAAGCAAGCAGCATAAACGGAATGTATAATGGCCAGAACTTGAATTGAAACTTGTAAGAAAGGCATAGTGAGAACTAACTGGTGTTTCAGTGTTCACAGCAGCAGCCTTTTCAATGCTTCGTAAAAAAATCTAAGTATCTTTCCTATAACATTAATGATTAAGGTCTAAGATCTAAATTTGCTAAAAATGAATCTGCAGATTAGATGTCCATTAAGAAAGTAGCCACTATTTTCAAAGAATTTGTCCTCTGCCATTTGAAACATGCTCATTTACAGACAAGGCAAAATAGATTGGAGGTCAACATTTTAGCCATGTAGACCTAACCGAATGTGAATACAAGTTTTGTGCCACTTTTCTGTACAAGCAATCTAAACGTCATTGCCCTGTGCTCTTTCTTTTCCTTGCAATTGCACTAGTTTAGGTAGTAAATTTCAAGGTAAAATTCTAGCTTTGGCTGACTGAATCTTTCCATTCTAAAGCATATGCTTCCTTTTTAAAAAAACTTAATTTAGTGTTTTTATTTTTAGTGAAAGGGAGAAGTAAATTCTTAAATGAAAAAAAAAAAAAAGCCCTAAACCAGATTTGGTACCAGTATGGCACGGCATACTCTGTTAAAATATAATGCAGAATTTTAAATGACAAAACTGAACAGTTGAAACCACTCTGGTTCAAATGAGAGTGGGCAGCTGGTGTCTAAATATTACTCTCAGGCTTCTTACTCTTCCATCCTTTCCATCCCTCATCAGCCTCTGAGATACCTCTAAGAACCTCTTTTTTTTTTTTTTTCTAAGAACCTCTTAAGGCCTCTGACTTACCTTTCCTAGGCGATTTTTTTTCTCTAGTGCTTAGTGCATTTTTCTGGAGTGTGCCAGAGCCTAACGTGCCTGAAAAATAAATTTATTTCATTTTGATATTTGTTAACAGTATAATGAAAACTTGGTAAAAGAAGTATTTGAAATTAAAAATGATTTTTAATGTCATTCAGCTTATACTATCTTTTTCTTATTCATTTCCAGGGATAATATTGTAGGCAATCTACCATGTTTAAACACAAATAAATAACTAGTGTGTTCTGTTTTGAGGAAACCGCACAATCCCCTTGCACTTTAGCTTCCTGTGAACTACTGTTAGGGTGTTGTGTCCACCCTCAGTTAACAAGCACTATTACTTAAAATTCTTCCTCTCCTGCTTTTCCATATGTCTTTAATACTGAATATAGGACGAAGAACTTTGAATCTGGTAAGGCCTATAAGGCAACATGGGGAGATGGAGACAACTCACCTAACAATGTAGTGTCTAAGCAACCAGGCCGGGTGACGAATGGCCAGCCTCAGCAAGCAGGCTCAGGAGCCGCAGGAGGTGGATACATTAAACGGTAGGCCAGCTCCTCCTGATTGTTTTTACCTCCTTTCTGAAATAGCTCACTCAGGATACAACTGTATGGGAATCTTAACCCATCCATTGGAAATAGCAATTTTTTTTCATTAAAAAAGGAGTTTAAAGTCTACCTTTTAATAGTATATTGACAATCGCTGTTGCTCTTAGATCAGTGGTTCTCAACGTTCTTAATGCCGTGACCCTTTAATACAGTCTCTCAGGTTTTGGTGACTCCCAACCATAAAATTATTTTCATTGCTACTTCATAACTAATTTTACTACTGTTATGAATCATAATGTAAATATCTAATATGCAGGATTTATTAGGCGACCCCTGTGAAAGGGTCGTTCAACCCCCAAAGGGGTTGCGACCCATAGGTTGAGAACCGCTGCCTTAGATGAACTGCCTTCTGATCGTTTTTTACCTCCTTTCTGAAATGGCTCACTCAGGATACAACTGTATGTGAGTCTTAACCCATCCATTAGAAATAGCCTTTTTCTCCCATTAAAATAAGTAGTTTAAAGTTTACCTTTTAATAGTATATTGACAATCACTGTTGCTCTTAGATGAACTGACTCGAAGACACCTACCAACATTATTTTTATGAAAACTAAACCCAAACTGTTCTTTTATGACTCACCCACTGAATTAACTTTTGGTTTTTGTTTTTTTGGTGATAGTATAACTAATGATGCCAGAGAAGATGAAATGGAGGAAAACTTGACTCAGGTGGGCAGTATCTTGGGAAATCTGAAAAACATGGCCTTGGACATGGGCAATGAGATTGAGTCTCAAAATCGACAGATAGACCGGATCACAGAAAAGGTAAAGGCTGCTTATTGCCCCAGGGAAATGGGAAAACCAGTCTAGTGTTTGTGGCATTGGCAATAGTGCTGATACTTTGGTGGAAACCAACAGGAGGTTGACAATTGGAGTTTTGATGAGGTAGCACTTTGAAGAACAATAACCAAGTCTTCTCATCTCTTGCTGTCAGCAGCTGGTTCATTTTGAAATCATAACCTTGCAATGAAGTACTGTTACTTAAGCATTCCTATTTGAAGTTCATAATTTAACCTAAGCACAGCAATTGTTTTTCTGAACAGAGACAGTCTTGTTCTCATTTTTCACTTTAATTAGTAATAAATGAGGAGCCCCAGAAAAGGAGCCCTTGTAGTGCTGTGGGCTAGACCTTGTGCTAATAGCTGGCAGTTCAAATATACTAGCCACTGTGCCTGATAAAGATGAGACTGTTTGCTCCAAAAAAAGATGGATAGTCTTGGAAACCTTATTAAGGGTTACTAGGGATCAGAATTGACTTGATGACAGTGGGTTTTGTTCTTTTAAATGATATACGGGTTCTGGTGGCACAGTGGTTAAAGCACTCAGTTATGATCTAAAATGCTAGTGGTCCACACATACCAGCTGTGCCAAGAATCAAGGATGTGGTTGTCTGCTGCATGACCTTATGAGGCAGTTCTGTTTTTTTCCTGTAGGGGGATCATGAGCTGAAATTGACTGGACAGACCAGCGTTTCTTGGGGTTAGAGGGCTGGTGGGGGGGTGTATGCAAATAGTTGAGTGCTTGACTACTACTAGCTGAAAGGTTAGTAGTTCAGATTCAGTGACATCTTGTAAGACGAACTTGGTCTGCGTTCTGCCCTGCCCACGCTCATATGGGTGGCCGTGAGTCAGAATGGACTCAGTGCAACTACCTCCTGAAGCAAAGCAGTAAATTCCTGAATCCTTACCTCACGTAACAGTAAATGAAAACCAGTTCTGCAGTCACACAGAATGGCTTTTGTGAACTGGATACACAAAATAGTCTTACAAAAAGTATGATTCATATATACATATGCATTTTTTAACCTCATACCATACTGAGAATGAAGCTGTTTTCAGTGTTTTGGAGTTTTATATCATGTAACTAGAATCCATTCTTGTTAGTTCATTAAGATCTCACAGGGGTGAGTTTCTGAACTTGTTAACTGCTCAATTGTTTACAGTGAGCTTCACTGAGGCAAGCAATAGTTTAAAGGTGCTTTTAGTGCTATAGTCTGGGCTTAGGCTACACAAGTGGTACAATTGTTTTAACTCAGACGTTGGTGTGGGTGGTACCACATCTGTTCTCAAGATTTCTGTGAAGGTTATTTCAGTCTTTCTGGACTGTATCCAGGGTAGCACTATGTAAGATTCTAAGGCTCAGTACAGAGGACGCCCACAGGTCCAGATGTATAGCAGAGGAGTATTTTGATTATATTTCACTGCATCTAAAGTGCCATGATTATAAGATGCATCCCAGTTTTAGAGATGTGCTAAACTATTATGAAATAGTTAGATGGATGAAAGACTCTTAATCTCTTCAAAGTTTTGTTGCATTTATAACCAAGGATGTTTTCAAATGAATTTGATATTCTGTGACCTCTTGCCCAATGACTTCAAGTGTCTCTGTGAATTTTCTCTGTCAATGATTACGGATGTTTAAATGTTTATTAGAATGAATTACCTTGTGAAGTAATGCTGATATCTTTTTTCTCCCCCAGGCTGACACCAACAAAGATCGTATTGATGTTGCCAATGCCAGAGCAAAGAAACTCATTGACAGCTAAAGCTATTGCTGTACTTTATCATTTATTTACTTCCTTAGCTTCTCAACTACAGAATCATTACATTTTCAGAGTTTGAAATTTTGGTCACACAATCTTCTAGTTGGGAGAGAATGTGGAAGACAGGCCAGAGGCGTGAAAGCCCCTGATTTTTCCTTTTCCTTTGAGGGCAGACCGTGCTGCTCGGCCTGCCGTCTGGTATTCTTCCTCTTTAGCTCCTCCTCTGAGATTGATTTTCCTACTTCACACATTGTGTTGTTTTTCCTTTTCCTTGCTTGCTCTAGCAGGCTCTTTTGCTTTCGAGATTTGAAAGCATTGCCAAAGATAGTCACAAAGAAGGAAGCTGTAGATATTTTTTTTAATGTGTGTGGGAAGGGGAGTAGAGAGATAGGTTGTTACCTCGATAAAATTCTGCAGGCTTTAAATCAGGCAATTACACAACTGTAGTCAAGGTCTAATTGGGTTTAGTTTTTAATTCTAGTTGCCTTTATTGCAAATTTAGGCTAAAGTCTGGTTTTGGAGTTTTGTATACAATATTTTTGTAATCCCAACTTTGCGAACTCTACTCCTAAAAGAGGAACAGACTGAATTTTGTTGTAGCGAGCCAATTTCTGAACTTAGTGATTGATAGATGTATATAGATTCTGTGGTCCCCTTTCATATTACACTATTCAGGAATACTTTGTATAAACAAATGATTTTTTATTTTCGTATTCTTAGAGTATCATGGTCCCTTTAGAGGCCTTTAATTTGTTTTCTTTGAAGAAAAAAATGTAAATATGTGTGTGTAACATGAGAAATCTCTAAAACAGGGCTTTTTTTTTTTAAGTTTGACAAAGTATATCAAGTGAATTCAGATTTACCTCAATACCAAGAATTATGTTTAGATAGGAAAAAAAGGAACTTATTTTGATCTCAGGTAGAAAAATTTTGCTTTGAGTTTTACATAGCTTAGACTTTTTTTTTTACTAGCGCATATTCTGTTTAACTAAAAGTGATCTGTTGGAAAATTATGCCTTTGGTTTAATTATTGATGATTGTATCATTCTCTTAGTCTTGTATATTCTCTTAGCTTAAGCCAGTAAAAAAAATTGCCTCCAGAATCCCATTATTTAAATCCTGAGAAGTGTTATGAGAATCAGATTCATATTTGTTACTTTTATTTAAAAACTACCATCTGTATACTTCAAGGCTATTCATGTGGATTGGTTTGGCCAATAACCAACTATTTGATATTTACAATTAAAATTTGTAACTAACCAATGGAATTGTTCTTCTAAATAGGTAACTTTTTTGTGTGTGACTATTATTTTGAGGGCAGGAATTTAGTCAGATTTTAACAAATTTAATAAAGCAAAGGTCTATAAATCATGAAACATACCAACTTGGAAAGTACCTTTCTAATTTTTTTGGAAATACTAACAGGGTTTTTCTATGATTTCTCATGTCATTCTTTTAAATCATTACTAGTCTTTTATTCATTTGGACGAAGTACACTGGTAACTGAAAGTATAATGTTTATCAATGAGAATTACAGCCCACTTCCTAAGGAAGATTCGGTTGACTTAAGAACTTTCTAAGGCCGAAGAGGAAAATATCTAACATGAGGTACAATTAGGTTCTCTGTAATAGATGTGCTTCACGCTAGAACCAGTAGTTTGGAAGATGATGGTAATGTATAAAGGAAAAAGGTCTAAAACATTGAGGATTATGCTTCACCTAAACTCCATTCCTAAAGCAGTAAAAATACTGCTTTAATTATCTTGTGTAAAGGAAGTAGTGGTAAGATATCATATGCTGCCTCACAGTGTGGGGTATTGGTTAGAACAGGCGTCCTCAAACTACAGCCCGCAGACCACATGCGGCCTGAGGACATTTATCTGGCCCGCCGGGTGTCTTTGCCCCATTTGTTTTTTTACTTCAAAATAAGATATGTGCAGTGTGCATAGGAATTTGTTTATAGTTGGTTTTTTTTTAACTATAGTCCGGCCCTCCAACGGGTCTGAGGGACAGTGAACTGGCCCCATTTAAAAAGTTTGAGGACCCCTGGGTTAGAAGCATGAGTAAGGTGGTGTGGATTTATACTTTCACTCAGCCACTTGTGCCTTAGACTGTCAACCTGTATCTGCCCCTCAAGTTCTTTCTTTGTAAAGGGAATAAATAATTCTGTTCTCATAGAGTTGTTACAAAGAATCAATGTGGTAGTGCATGTGGACAGTGCTTGGCAAATGTAAGAGCTTAATGATAGCTGTTATCTCTAAGTGATCAAGGCTCTTTTTGGCTCAAGGATCCCTTTTGTGAATTAGTGAAAGCCCCTCTTCTGAGAAAAAATGGTCACATAGTCTGAATTATGTACAAGTGAGAATAATGGAGACCTTGAAAATTCATCTACAGATCCCAGCTTATGAACTTTACTCAAGTTCCTGCTACTGAGAAAGAGGAGGAAGGGTAATACTGAAGTGGTTAAAAATACAAGATCTGACCATCTGGGCTCAGATTCTATTTGAGTCATTTTCTAGCTGTGTGACCGTAAGCTTACTCCTAACCTTTCTGGTCTCTATTTCCTTTATCTTACCAGTGGCTACAGGCACTTAAATTGGTTCCTGGACTTAATAAGGGTTGATTAAGTTAAAAGTACTATTAAAAGTACTATTACTTTGGAATGGTTAATAGGTATAAACCATTTTCACCTCATTCTTTTTGGCTCAGTATTTACATGACTTCCTCTTTTTATTATTATTATTATCATTATTATTATGACTTCCTCTTTGCCAAGTTAGAATCATTAGAATTAGAATTAGAATCTTTAGAATCATATAAGTTGCAAGATGAAACTTCATTCTGAAGAAAAATATAAAAGCCTAAGAAGTATAGCATCATATGTGACCCATAAGAAAGGCTAGCATGGCTTGTAGGTTGACATTAAAATCCAATTTTCTGGGGAAAAAATTTTGCTGGGGCTATTTAAAAATCTTCTACTTAAAGGATGACAGGAATGAATCCAGCCAGCATGACGAAGAAGAAAACTCCTAACCCACACCCATTCTCACAGTCAGGGTCACATCGCTTAATCCTATGATGACAAATGCGATCCATTCCTAAATCTTCTTTTTTAACTTGTATTAGTTTTTATTTTAAGCTTAATTTACTCCTGAACCATAGTTTTTGCTTTGTTCAGTTTCTTCTGTGAAACCTCCTCTTCTGGCTTAAGAACAATTTGGTCCTTTTTAGTAAGGATCATTTCGATGTGACGGGGGAGCTTCCGCATGTATAGCTTGATCCAAGCATGAACTCTGTATGTGCTCATTGACTAGAAAATCTACATCAAAACCTTTAAACTCAGCATTACTTTTGGCAGTTTCAGGCATGTGCAGCAAAAATTAAGTACTCTTTTTGGGCCTGGACACACTGTCATGTTGGGACAGCACGTACTGGGCTGTAGAAAATGACATTTTAAATACGTGGTGGCTTTTGGATATTTAGACCCTCAATAGCCTGGGCAGGTTCCCTGGTGTTCACTTGGACCTGAGGATTTGACTTGCTTGATTTTCATGATTTTGTGGGGTTTTCTAGGTCAAGTGAGTAGTAAACCATTTTGGCATATCACCTCAGGCTGCTACCGGAGGAGTCCTAAATCTCTTTAAAGAAAATTTGTGCGTAAGTCATAATAGGTATAGTTCCTATTTAATGTCACTGGAATGTCTTACCGTGTACCTTTTATGCATAAAAAAGCACATCCAGATATACATCGTTAACATCCAGAACATTAACATAATACAATAAAAATAAATAATTATTATTATTGTATTTTGATGTGTGCCATAAAGGAGGGCCCATTTTTATTATGAACCATTCTTTGTACCTTGACTTTTTAATATGCCAGTGACCTGCGGACTGTATATACTGTGCTCAAATCCTGTGATAGAAAAACGACAGAAGCAGCCACTTATCACAGGGCTGGCTCTCAGTATTTTAAGTGGCGTACAAAGGGACACCCAGTTTAGAGGAGGTATCATTGTAAGTTGTTTGTTTGTTTGGGGACCACTCTCCTTAGGAATGTGTAGCTTATGGTTAAAAACCAGAACCTTTCACTGAACTATTTATTTTTAGAATGTTCACAATTGAGCTTTATTTTTTGAGAAACTCCCTTAAGTTTCTTGCCTTCTGATGTCAGTAATCTATATTCCTAATAGCTGGGCCTTTTTGTTTTTGTTCCCATAGTTTTAAAGTCATTTTTTGTCTCCAACTCTTTCCGCTTCTTATGTGAATTTTGACTCTCTCCTTAAACTGCAGCTTGTCAGCCGTCCTATACTTAATTACATTCAGAATTAGTTTCTTTAAAAGCTGTTTCCTTTAGGTCACTACTTACTATGATTTTAGGTTTATCCCAATTGCATTCCTTATCAGATTTGTGCTTCTCAGATGGACATTTGGGTTTTTTATCCTATTTTTTAGTGCTCTTTTTAATGTAGCACTGCTCTAAGCCTTCTATTTTTGTACAGCTCAACCATTAGGCTAAGTACATGAAATAAATAGCACCATTGATTTGAGTGCTTTGTGACAAGCACTATGCTAAAGTGCTTTTAAATATCTTTTTTTTTTTATTAACATTTTATTAGGGGCTCATACAACAGTTATCCCAATCCATACACACATCAATTGTGTAAAGCGCATTTGTACATCGTTTCTCAAAACATTTTCTCTCCAT